TGCTTGCCTATGCGGCAACGCTGACAAGTGCAAAAAAAAATCACAAGTACTGAAATAAAAAAATGCGTTGAAATAGGCAAATTCTACCAAAATCTATTCACTCTGGAAGGCACATAAGAACTTCCCACTGTTGATGCGAGTACTCCAATCAGCAACATAAATGGTAACGTATAGTATCTAAAAAAGGCAAATTATACAACTAATAATTTTATGTTTCCGGCATCAACGTAGATCTGAAATTCAAGTGGCGATTAGTACATCAACCCAACAATTTTTTGTCCGCACTCTGAACTCTTCTGAGACTATATTATTTTCCAAATGCGTGAAAAAAGTCGCAGATATTAGTAATAGCCAAGCCCAGTAAAGACCACACACAGGGGCCTTTTTATTAACAACATGGCAATGTAGAACAAGTCAACCGACAAGAAAACCTTTGGCATAAAGATCTTTTGCACAAAATTTATAAAACTTGGCCTAAACACTTCACCAATATATTTTAATAACGGACACAATCCCGTAACTTAGCATAGAGGCCTTGGTATCCTACTGGTTGAACCTGAAGTTGAAATAAGCAGAAATAAGTACCTCAAGGAACTGAAAAATCACCCCAACCCATTATCTAACGGTTTGTGCAACTCTTCCAGAAATGCCCAACTGTAGTGAATAGATGTTCGCGCCTACTAATGAGAGCGCCATTACACGATTTTAATTTAGTTTTAAGATTTGTAAATTTATCGTTAGGCAGTAACAAATGAATTCTTTGTACGGACATGGCGACCGCCATTAGAAAATTTAGCTTAATTTTTTATTTAAAATATTTCTCTATAACTTTTGGTCGCACGGGAATTTGAGCCCGAGCATTCCGAATGGCAGTACACAATGCTAACCACTCGGCTACCGCGGCCGCCAATAGAAGAATTGGAAACCAAACTGATTCCCTTTCAGAGGGTATAAACGCAAATTAGTTGAATGAAAAATTTTGTACAATTATCTGCCTGTAACAGTAATATGTGTGTGGAAAGATATAGTGATTATACCAGTGGAATGGTACCTGATTTCACTTTCTGAAATATTTATGACTGCGCAGTTGTCGAGTCCGCATAAAATCTAATGCGATTGGAATAGACGGCGTTCATCCTAAATGTATGCTGCCTACAATTTCATCGTATGTAGCATATACCTTAAATACCATTTCGACCACGTCTGTCTTTTCTCAAGGTTGGAAGTCGGCAACGGAGACTTCAGATTTATCGCAATACCACCCTCCTTATCTAAAGTTCTTGAACGTATGCTCAAATAAACTCTTTCCTAAGTCGAAACCTGCTGATGAATCGGTACCGATGCTTCTCCCTTTCTCAAAACTCGAAATCACTCGCTTCCAACCTTCAGTCTTTCCACACTAACATTGCAGTCGATACTGTCTTTTCAAGTCACTGCCGCACTTCAAGACGAACGATACAAGTTTTCAAAGCTGCACAATTTCTTCAAAAATTGTCAGTCGACCTTGCACTCCAAAATCCCCTGCCATTCCTAAACAACTGTCACCATTGCGGACTAGCACACCACACCCCACTGCATAGGCCCCGCGGATACAACGTGGACTATAGAAAATTTCGAGGCAGCTTCCAATAAACCACGAAAGAACAAATGGATGGGGGGGTCGGGTCAAGAAGTCCTCCATAAAAACTCGAAAATTACAGATTCCGTAGTCCGTAAGCCAATAGTTCGAAAGCTTTCAATGCGGACTCTGCGACGTTGTTAACAAAGCCAAGAAAATAATAAAATAGTGCAAAATGCCACATGGACGAAATCTCATAGCATTATAAAATATCATCGAAAGCATACAAATTTGAATTCAAATCTAATAATAATGTGAAACTGAATTAATTTAAATGTGTAAATATTTACCACCACTAATCTTTAATACTCCTTACTTACTCCTTACTCCTGATACTTACTTGCGTTTCAAACTCCAGGAATGAAAAGCAAAATCTTACCTTGGAAATACAGCCCGGTTTTCCTTCGTCTCATTCGGAAAAAATACATGTAGAATTTAAGTAAAATATGAAATTGTATAGATCTATGATTTCATCGATCCATAGAACTTATTAACACTAGCTGAAATACTGTGAAATTTTCACAAACTTAATAAATTCTTTGAAATCCAATCCAAAGGGCGTTCCAACTATGGCTAGAATTTATATACCATGAATCAAGCGAAGAATTCAAAAGGCAACTACCAACACACCAGGCAATCGCCCAACAATGCAAAAACAAAAGTTCAGGATGGCAGTAATCAGAGTGAGAAAAAAAACTTTGGCAGTGCAGACAGGCTCCGATCGCTACATCAATGATAAAGAAAGTCTAGCTTTGACCTTTGACCCTTACTAACTTTTTTCCAGGTTTAACATCGATTACTAACGACGAGGCAGGGAGGTATTTATACCATTTTTTGTAATCTTTCAGTTTGATAGCCTTTCTTCTGTGTTGATGTTTGCAGTTTTCGATTTACTTGGATGTCTGCAGTGTATATAATATGTAGTATATACCCAAGAACGCTACTTTGATGAACACTGGCTTTTATAGGAAACTCCCCAGTTATAACTTCAAATTGTTTTACGGTTAGCTGTCATTTAAATACAGATGACGCAAATATTTTTTTTTTCGTATCCAGCCTTATTCTAATGCCCTAATTATTATTTTTTAACATTATCTTACTTATTTTTTTGATCTGTTCCATGTTTTAGCCATTTCACCGAAAACCAACATATTTGCACGAAAAGCATTAAAAAATTTGAGAGTTTGAAGTGTTGTTGCAAAACCGCATCATTACAAAGTATTTCGACGTTTTGGAACTCGCCCAACCTGTGACTGGCAGACCCTGCATTTTACAAAGCGGCACCGGTGCAAGTTACTTTGGCGCGTATAACTTATAAGCATTATTAAAAAGACTGAATTAAAACAAATTGTATTGTATTGAACAAAAAAAAGGAATCAGAATAAATAAATTTTCAGAATAATCATCGCGGTAAGTTGGTTTCTACAGATTACTAATTATAAATGTTTATTTATGTAATACTAGTAGCTGAGTGAATAAATATTTTTTTACTATACTTTGTTTCATCTTTCTAACGCTATCTAGCGAAACCCGATCGCACTTACATATCGCGAGATACAGATGAATGATGAGATATAAGAAATCTTTCGAATTATTTGGTCTTTAAGAGTTCTATATGGTCTTACCTTCACGGTAAATATGAATATATAATTGAAGTATTCCCACCGGCTTTGTTAATTCGTTAATCTCAAGGTATTTTACTATTAAAAAAAAGGATTTAACACTACCCTCTACTGAAATATATGTTCATATTTACATACATATGCATCAAAATAAATCTATACCCTACCTCCTCGAAACCGCCCGCAATAAGTACATATGTATGTACATACATAATTAAAGCGTTTTGTATCTTTACCAAACCATCAATATTTTTCACAAGACCTTAAGCTACTGCGTTCTAATAAAATATGAATTTGCAAACATATGTATGTATGTACATATACGTTCAAACACACTTACGTAAATTCCCATGTACATATGTATCTACATATGTAAATGAACACATATATGCGTACATATATAAGTATATATAGTTTAAGTGCATAAATGCAAAGTTCTCATTAATGTGAATACATATGTATGTACATACGTGTACAATTATATTATATTTTATCTTATAAGTATACCCACACATATCTGTATATACATATGTAATCGTAAATACAGATTGATGTATAAATAAACAATTTCAAACTTGCTTAAATATATAATATAATATGTAAATATTTAGTAATAAATATTAGTAATGTGTATGAGTGTTAGAATACATGTGTAAGATTAATATCGCATATACCATGTAAACACATACATACATATATATATGTGCTTGTACAAATAAATATACATAAGCATGTATGTATATACCAGTGTTCTACTATAAAACGCTTTGTCATTTCACATACAGTTGTATATGCATGTACCCTGCAAACATTTTTGAACCACATGGTCCAATAGGTACTCCTCTACATTTTACTATTGCAAAGACTCACGCCTCGCTACCAGCTGGTTGTTAGCCGATGATTGCTTGTGTTTTAACAATCGCATTTACTACACGAAGTTACAAGTGCGTAATAAGAATTATACTCATACAAAGAAAATATTTGAAAATAAAATTGAGTAATTTGTGAGCTCTGCTCCTACACAGAGTTAAGCTAGCATTTTCGTATGTAAATCAAATAAATTCGCGAATCGAAATTAATATGTTCATTCATAATAAATTTGGATGTCATGCAGAGGTTGAGTATTAAGTTCAGCTATAGGAAATCACAATGTTAATAAGGGCATATTTTTTGTATGGATTATGGGAAGTTTTGGACCACTCTATTGGTCGAGTGGAGTACATGTTTCACGCGTGAAAGAAGTACTCACGTTGTTTGCAGGGTAGTAGCATATATGCATGCATAAGTATGATCCACACAGTCCACAATATTTTATAGTAAACCAGTATGTGTTTGTATTTGAATCCATTCTTCGCCAACCCAATACGAAAGAATTAACAATCAATTCATAAATATGTACATTTGTACATATGCAATGTGTTTCTTAAAATTTTTGCTTAGTTTTTCGTACATATGTTTCTAATGCCAGGTAAAAACATAAAGCAGATCCATAATACGACAAATCTTGTAAAAGTGTCAAATTCTTTTATGCTCTTCTAGAGTTTTGTTTGAACAAATTTTATAGCATTTATTTGCCAAGCCACTGACAAACTTTTTTTAGTTTAGAGTGAAAGATTCGAACTTTAAATACGGTTCAATGGACAATAATGGCAACTTTATTTCTTACTGGGCAGCTCTTTACAATACAATGACATTGCAACCATATGATTAATATTGCTGTGTATAATGTTGAACAGCTGATTCAGTTCAAAAGCATCGAATAACAACACAACAACGCTTCACAAAGTCACAAAACTGCAGTAGAAACTGTTGATTATTTCGCTCGTCACATAAACGGAGAATTGCAGTCGCAATTTTAGTTAGCTATTTAATTTTTTTTTGAGTTTTAAAGTGGATTACTAATTACAATGAAACTGGGAATATGAACGTAATTGGCAAAATGAGATCAAAGTCAACGCCCTAATAAAAATATCTAATAATTTAGTTTAGATTTGAACAGACATAAAAAAGTATTCGGTTCATACATATTTATGTATGTACATACATACATATATGTGTGCATATAAATACGCATATACAAGTGCATGCATTTAAACTGGCACATATGCATGTACGTAGAACTTTATAATAAACAGAACAGTTCTCGTGGATACATTGATTAATCAGAATGAGTAATGTCACATTATGTACATACGTGTGGATGTATGACTGTATATACATACATTAGTGCATAATAATAATTTGAAATACGTTCTATGTTTATATATATGTGCTCCAAAAAAATACTGTGTTTCAAAAACGATTTTACCTAAAATATAAAATCATTTGCATACGGTGAATGTAAATAAATATATCCAGCAATGTGTATATATGCACGTATACATACATATGTAAATATATGTCTATTTCATGCATGCATACATATATATGTAAATACAAATGCACTGATGTTTAATCTAGCAACCAGACAAGCAAAAAATTAAATAAGATGACGAAACTGAAATCATGATAAGTTTTTGTGTACGTCCGTATGCATATGTACATATACATATACATATGTATATGTATACATTCAAAGATGTACATATACATATGCATGTGTTTCTCTACGTATACCCGTATATATATGCATGTAAATGCACAACTGAGTACTATGCGTAAATTTTCTCAGCTCTAAAATATGTAAGTGTTAATTCAGAAAGCTGTCTCAAATGTACACATGGAATGTACAAATGTATGTACATACATATGTATATATGTAGGTATGTATATATGTATGTATGTACGTACCTATCTTCGTACTAAACAATATGAATGCATACGAAGTAAATACAAATATTCGATTTACCTTGACTTATTATGACGTTGTTTATCAGTTCAAAAGCTAATAAATAACAGTGTATTTTATTAGTGTATTTAGTATATATACGTGTATATACTACATATATATACAAGTACATCCGTGTGTACGTATGTATATATATATATATATAGAAGTGTACGTATTTGAAAAGTACATCCATGCATACATATTTATATGTATACTGTAATAATCCATACATTTAAATGCGTTTTATATGTACAACACATTATTACTATACAGCTACTACGAACGCAATCTTTGAAAGTGCATTTGTATAAACATGTTTTCACGTTTTGTTTCAAACGACACAGATATGTACATAAGTACATACACGCTTATAGTCGTGCACGGATATATTCAACAGTACTCAAAATAGTGAAAAATCGAGATTTTCTAAATGGTGAACACCATCTTTGCCAGTAACAACAACCGCAAATCGGCAAAAAAAAACATAATATTTTAGTCGATAATTCCCTGTTATTTGAAATTTTTTGGTCATTACTGAATGCTAATTGTTTCATGTTTTGCACAAACCACCAGAGTGAACGTGCGTTATTTACAGTGACTTCTGAAATATATGTACATATGTATGTTCATGCAATTGTACATACGTATGTATGTGCATATGTATTTTGAGCTATCATTCCTGCAAAAAAATGGCTTTGGTGAAAGATGCATTTAAATGTCAATCTTAATGTATTGGGCAACCAGCAAATTAGTTCACTACACCCTGATACGACTGTATGTAGATATGTATGTATTTACACTCGTTTTTCGCGTTAAAATTTCATATCCTATATATCAATAGGTAAATACAATTATATGTATGTATGTATATTTGTACGTACATATATACACACACATACAAGTGTAGGTTTGAATGTACACATATATGTATGCATGTATAAGGTGAAATCTCAAATCAAACATTCTTAAATATTCGTACTTACAGTATAAATACGTATACATACCAACACAGGCATACATATGTATAGATGAACACAGTATACTCGCAATGAATCAACACTGCCAAACCTACATATATACATAAATATACAAATGCAATAACGTTTAACAGTTCATAAACTTCAAATATAAGCCCCCGATTAATCCTCTTTTAAACAATTAAATGATCAACAACATAGAAGATCGCAAAGAATGTAATGTGGAATATTTAAATTTCGACGAAATGGAAGATTTTAATTTTGAAACGTTTATAAAGTCGGACTTGACCTCTACTTGTGACGATCAAGAACAGGGTTATAATGATAGAAATTTTAAAACCAATGATTTGGTTTTTGGGTCCCAACGCATAAATTCAAATTCAAGCACCCCATATTCAGATGCGACACAGGTAAGTGTTTCCTATGCATATTGAAAATGTATGCATTCGTTCATACATATGTATATGCATGTGTATGTATATGTATGTATGTATGTAGATATAAGTATTTCTCAGCATTCCTTTTAGGTAAAGAACTAATCTGATTGATGTTTATTCAGAGTTGCTTTTGTTATAACTCTTTATTTATTTATTTTGATACTTCAAAATGGGTAAATTACACCGTAAAGGGTGGTTCTGAAATACATGTTACAATCACGCTACAATTTCTTTGTGGATTTTCCTCTCGTTGAACCACTCGAAGGCCCTTATTATTTATCGGGTTTTCCATATTTAAAAATTTTGTTAAACTAAAGTGTTATTTTTCCTTAAAATAGAATGGTTAAATCGCTTTATTTACTATTTCTTTTAGCTATATCTCAATGTCACATACTTACCGACATCTTTAGTAAAAATACACTTTTAGTTAGGTCGAACTTAGAAACAACTCTAACTTGAATATGAATATACCAATGTATTTTTCAGATACATGTTTTGTCAATACTCAAACTTCTTTTGGAAAATGCGTAACTTAAATCCATCCATGATTTTAATGGCAGGAAAGTATCAGCAAAAATGACCACTGCTATCGTGATTTTGTAGCAACCTTTTGGATTTCTCCAAATCTTAAGAAGCTTAGTCGCTGACTAGAATATACTAGAAAAATCGTTGACTATATTTGTGCTTAATCACTTCTCTTGGGAATCCGATTCCATGAACAAATATTTTACAAAGATGAGATTGCTAGCCCACTTATCCCAAAAAATATATTTTTTTTCGAATAGATCGGTTCCTGTTCCATTTGTACTGTCTCCAAGCAATTTCATAAAGCAACAATCAAACATACGGTGGAATCATGAATGGAATCAAAATAATATTCAATACCATCCAGGATGCTGCAGATTACGCTGCAGTTACTCCGCACAATATGCCCAGTTCCCGCCGCACTGCAAATATATCTCAAAAGTAACTCGATGTACTATATTTGCCAAAGATATTATAAAATAAAAGCAATTATCCAAAATCATAGTATTGCAAGGCTGGCAGAAATATTAAGGCCCAAAGCTTTAACAGTTAGGAAATTACTATATTTTAACTTTTCATGGGTTAAAATTTGACAATATTCTAATTTTTTACCTACCAAGAGTTTTTTACGAGTAATTTATATTAAATAATAATTAGTCTTCTACTAATTACAAAAACTTTTATATTAAAAAATAAAATCCGTAGTAGGTCTACAACAGTTTCAGGTAATTTTTTTCTGGCAAACATATTATATATGTTTTCATTGATACTTCAAAAAAGTGAGCTCTTTAAAATACCCTTTCTATTCCTTTCTGTTTTTATTTGGATTCACTTTAGGTTGCGGGATAGTGCTGGAGTCTATCTTAACAACGTATTAATTAAAAAAAATTTTTTATTATTATTAGCACTTTGTAACCGCTTATCAGATTTTCGGCGAAGCTCCTCCTTAAATTTATGGTAAGCGTCTTGTTGTTTTTTCCTAAGTTTCTACTAAGCCACCTCCGAACGTCTGAAGATTTTTTATGAAAAGCTATTATTTCATGTCCAAAGTTTTTGAATATTGATAGGTCCAGAACTCGAACCCTGACCTTCCGTATGGCTGAACCCAATGCTAACCACATATATAAATAGTAGAGCTTAGGAGTACATGGTTTTACTTTTATAGGTGACGAAATCCCCTTGAATTTTAAAAACAGTAAACAAAATTTATTAAATGTGTACTTTGAAAAAAATTTAAAAGGCTTCATTTACTTACTCGAAAAACTTCATTTATGGTATTTTCATTTAAAAAAAAAAAAAATTATTTTTTAAATGGTTTACTATGCTTATGCTTGCGTTTATTAAATTTTTTAAAAATTGTATGATAAAAAATTAGTTTATTTTGGAGATTAAAAAAATTTTCTGGGTATGTGCTTCCTAACATTGAAACATAAATAAACATAAAACTAGATATGTTTTGAATGTTCATTTGAAGTATAACTGTTTGTTGAACTTTTTCTGGGTAGCATACGAAAAATTTACACCGTAAGCAAATACTAAATCAGATTTAAAGAGTATCGCTTTAAAAATTTATTGCGAACTTCAATCGGAGAATTAAGGAAAACTTTAGATTACCTTAATAAAAACTTTATAATTGAATAATATAATAAAAGTCAAAATTTTGATAACAAACGATTTCTGCTTTATTAAATATTTGGTTTTAAATTTATGTCCCATTGAAAAATATTTATATTATAATATGCAATACAAATGAAAAGTTAAAGATTACTGATGATATATTTTGATAGCATTAACAGTTATTTACAATATAATCACTAGTTTGAATGAATTGTTAAAATTTGTGTTATGTCGTGTATTGCGTACTTGTTGAAAAATTTTATATATATTGGGCCCGTTAAATCGATTTTTCTCAACACCGAACTTGTGGCCATTTTTATGGCTACAGCAATTAAAGTGGCCTGGATCAACATTTCCTGATTTGCGGTGATGCATTCAAATCACAAGGATTATGATACATCTGCAGTGTCATCGTCATTTTACGTAGCAGCCATTCTTTCGATGAACAGCAAGCACCTTAACCGATTAGGTCGGAATGGTTCCACTGATATTTTCTCTCTGTTGGTTCAAGTTTGGGCATAGAAAACAAAATTGGTCTGAGGAGAATTTTTTCGCCGTGGATGTAATTGCTCGAGGGTGAAAGCAAGAATATTGTGTTTTGTTTAGCTTTCCTTTCAAATAATTATTTATAAAACTGGCGCCTTATAACCATTAAATTGATTTTCGGCCGAGCATCTTCTTCAATTTGTGGTATGTGTCCGGATGTTTTTCGAACTAATGGAAGGACCAAATATATACTCGAACTGCTTGACATTCCTTGCCAAGGGGCAACCGCAGCTAGAAAAATTAGTTTCCTATAATTTTGGATCATGGCCAGACCAGTACTCGAACCCTGGCCGTCCGATTATTATATGCAATGCTTACCACTCGGTTATCAATCATTATTGGCGGCTTGGACGTTTTCTGTACATTCTCTTGGTCATCAGACACAGAAATTAAATGGTAAGCCAATGCTAAAATCCATCGAAGTTTTTCATTAGGTAACTAGATATTTCTTATGGTTTGTATTAACAAGATCCTAGTAGAAGAATTCAATTATTCAAAATGTAACAAAATGTGCTGAAACGTCGTGAAAGGAACCTCAATGAAGAATTAAAAAATCCCTTTTAACTCTATTGTTAACATTTAATCAAGTGGTAAAAACAAAAGTTTGGAAATAGTAATTTAATTTTTAAATGTGCAAATAACTTTCACTATACTCAATAAAAGATAATATACTATAATAGACATAGACTCTTAACGAAATTTAACGAAAATATTGTGCATGCATGTACACCTATATTCCTACAAACATACCTACGTACGAGTACATTATACACATCAAAATGAATATACATACATACAATACAAACCTATTAGCCTGACAAGGAGCATTCACATTCAATTGGGGCTTTAACCTTTTACTGTAAGTATATAAACGAGTAAGTGTGTAGAATTTTGCGAAATTTCTACTCGTGCCAGTGAACTTCGAATAAGAACTACATTTTTAGATACATATGTATATATGTTCACATTTATATTAAAGTTGGTCATCGAACTGGATGTTGATATTCGTTAAAAAGTAAGAGAACGGCAATATCCTTACCGGGTGCCATTGTGCTTAAGTTATAAATATAACTTTATAGCTTTGATTAATGGTTGGAAATATTTATTTTTATTTAGTTATTTTTAATTTATGGAAAGAAGGAATAATAATTACCCTTACTTTTAATTTAATTTAATTACTTTTATCACATATTTAAGTTCCCCCAAACCATAGTAATATGGAATGGAAGGTTATAATAAGAGCGAAATCATGGGAAAATTTCAGCTGATTTGTGATTATAGATTGACTTTTTGTCAACACACCAAAAGTAATTTAAAATATAAAAAATATTAATACCTTAATATGAATGATATACTAACAAAATAAATAATTAAATGTAATTTTGTTTAATTCAACTAATTAATATCAATGATTCAAATAATAGTAAAGCCACTCTTTAAATCAAAATATGGGGGCAGTGGAGTTGAAGCTATGAATGTTGAATGCATATAATAGAATAACATATAATATTGCATTTTGTACAAAGCGAATTGATTTTTGATTCCTTAACTTTACTAAAGAGAAGTGTCAAAGGAAGATTTTTGCTCCGAGAATGCATTCTAAATCATACGAAAGCGTCGACGGAGCCAAAGATGTTAAGTTAATTGTTGAGTTGTTAATTAAAATTGAAAAATAAAGCTTTCCAAAATATGCTTGGATTTTATTCTAAGATAATCGAAGCGAGTAGAGTATAATAATGTTCAAAAAGAATTCCAAACTCATTTCGTATTCTAATCATTCTTCCTGAAAATCTTAAATTTAAGCGACAAATTGTTTTATTAAAATAATTATTAAAAATAAACTGTATAATATGTACGGATTCAAATATTTTAATTTTAACTGAATCTCGTTCGGTCAAAACTCAATAAACATCTTTCTTTCGGAGAGTAAATCATTTTACTCTCTCAATTTCTCTATTGGCTAATTTTTACTCATATTTCTCACAAAACAGAGCTATTAACTCTGTAACAAAATGTTAAACTTTCACTCCCTCAGAACTAATTATACAGACTTTTTATTATTATCTGTTAACGATATAAATAAAACTTAAATCATTGTTTTTGATAATTGCTTTAGAAAATATGAAAAAGAAAATTTTGTTTACTCACAACTTCTTAACCTCCTTCCTCATCTAATCAATACCCGGTTTTGCAATCAGAAAGCAAGTTGCTATTTATAAATATAAATAATAGATTATGTTTTTATTAGATGTCTGATAGTATTAAGATGTATTTATATTATTATGTCCATTACTATTGTTTTAACAAGAAATCATTTGGGGTTATGGTAGCACAAAAGGCTATGATCTGATTAATTATCAGGTAAATATCTGAAAAAATAGCATTTTGTTCTAGCATAATATTCTTCTTACTAAAACGTTAAAAAATAGATCGTCTTAATTAATTATATAAATATTTTTATTTCAGACAAAAAAACATTATCCTGGCCATATAAAAAGACCCATGAATGCTTTCATGGTGTGGAGTCAAATGGAAAGAAGAAAAATATGTGAAAAAACGCCAGATTTGCACAATGCCGAAATATCCAAAGAACTTGGTAGGCGTTGGCAACTGCTGGGTAAAGAAGAAAAACAGCCATATATAATAGAAGCGGAAAACTTACGAAAACTACACATGATAGAGTATCCTGATTATAAATATAGACCTCAGAAAAAGCAGTCCAGATTCTTCACCCCAAGACATAATAGTGAAAAACAAGAACGGGGAACAAAATTATACGACGGCGAAAAGAAAACAACATCTCCACCATCTTCTCACCGTAAATGTAGACAAAATATATTGTCCGGTAACTCTGGAGCAGCATCACGTCGCAGTCGAAGTTCAAAAAAAAGTATCAGTAAAACGTCTACCTGCAGTGTTAGAAAGCTCAGTAAAACAAAAGAACTGACTACTTTTTGCGCTCAATCAAATATTTGTAAAGAAGATTCCATTAATTACCTACAAAGTACTTCAAATCATAAAAATTATAGTAGCGATGCAAACGCCTGTGATATCAACTCGGAACTGGTGGAGAATATTCATAGTTTAGATCCTATAGAGCCGTCCGACTACAATCAACTAAAAAATAGCGCGGAATATCAACTTGAAGATGTATTAAAAATAATAAATCCCGATACTTTTTTTGAAACACAATTTGAACTGAATAATGCTGAAAATGACTTTTCTCATGGCAATACACACATTCATGAACAAGTTAATATCAATGGCGTTTCCCCGATCTCATGTTTCGAGAACACTAAAGTAGAAAAGGAAGATAGCATTGTAAATGATGCAAATTTACATCTTGCCAGTCATCATTCTCATCAAATTCAATATCCTTACGATACAATAAAACTTCCCGTTTTCGATTCTCTATTACCTTCTAGAGATCGTAATAATGATTCGTGCATCATTAATTCTTCAACCGATGATACAAATTGTGACATTATAAATCCACCATTGTACTGTAATGATGAGTGCGGATCCGAAAATCAAGATCAACAGCAACAAACAATAACAATGAATATTGAAATTCATAACAGCAATCGTCTTCGTGGGAATGTTGAGAATGATGGGTTTATGGCCGTCGATGATATGTATGCAGCTTCAATTCCATGTGCAAGTGTCGACAGTGATTGCAGTATTTTAACATCACCGCGATCTCCTCAAATAAGTTTAAATAACATTGCTTCAAACAGTATAGTGGTGGACACAAGTATCACAAATATCTTTCCACTTTCAAATACAAATCCAAATCAACATGTTCATTCGGATTGTAATAATTTGAACTATACGTTTTATGATACTAACGGAGCTCTTCTTGCTTTTACCTATGACGACTTACCACCAGAATCAACCAGCAGTCACTTGGAGTTTAGTAACCGATATGAATTTTCTAGTCTTTAAGAAAGGGATAATTCATGCCTTTTGTAAGTATATACATACATAAATATACAAAGAGCAGTCTCAAAAATTAAAATTCAATTTAAAATTAATTTTTATATGTATTTAATATAAATATTTATATGTATGTATACCTGTACATATGCAATATTAGTCGGTAATTTACCCAGTGGCAAAAAGTAAAGTCTTGTAAGCGAAGAGGTAAAGTAGAAACTGTGTCTCAGACATCAAGATTTCGTCGCTGAAAATGAAAACGGCAATGTCATAGCAAATTTAAGGCCTTTCCAAATACCATTTGAAGTAAGAAAAGTGTTCATGTGTGTTTTTTTTTTTTGCAGAGAATAATATCTCCTCTGCTGCGTATTTTATATTTATATTTCATCACAGGGGAATTTCGCGTATCAATATTTTATATTATAATCCTTTTTCCTTACCTTTTTGCATTACCTCTTCGCTTCCAAAAGGTAAGGTCTTACCCATTTTGCTGAAGGGTTAAATTTCTTCCATCCATACGTATTAGAATATGTGTAGATGTATGTGCACGAATAAAATCTAATATGCATGTTCACAATGCAGGATATGCAAAATATGACTTACACACATCCATATGTATAGTTATTTAAAAACATTATCGTTGTATAAATACCAAGATTTGTGAAACGAAACTATTTCAGGGAAGGAATGATAAATAACAATAATTTACGTATGTCAATAAATTCAAATTTTAAACATTTGTTGAACAAATGAATAAATAGAATTTAGTTAAGAATTAAGAGAATTAAGAACGGTTTTAATATTTATATTAAAAACGAGAGTATGTACATACATAAATATTTATTACAAATATGTATGTATCATTTGTATTGTATGTAAATGCTTTAACCGCTTAAATATTTTGTGAAATTAATTTTTTTGTTATAAGCATTTATTCCACGTGTAAAATACTTTGCGAAGTAGTTCAGAATTAGTTGTGCTCATTGTTTTGAATTATAAATTTGTCTTTGTGATATACTATGTAGAATTAATGGAAAGTAATTACCAGTTTTGACATTTTCTGTTACTTATAAACAAACAAACAAATATTTCACACAGCCGTAAAAAGTTTTTACAATCTGTATTTTGGTTCTACTTTTGAATTCAATTTTTCACATGAATTTTTTTAAAGACTCATTATTAACTGGCGAAAAAGAAGCGCCTCTATTTGACACGTATATTTTTTGTGAATAACCACTCATAGACTTTTACAGAGCAGCCCGATTTTGATACTTCACATTATTAGATTTGCATTACATTAGAAATAAATTAATTTTTCATAGTTCTCAAAAGTGCTGGAGACATAAGCCTCAGAACACGGATTGTAAGGGGTTACCAGTATTAATACAGTATTTAAAAATATAAGGCCATACTCATAATCCTGAGTTAGAGTACATTTTAGTTAGAGAATAATAGCAAAGATAAAGTGTACTTAAATATGTACATCAAGTTTGTATTAATTTTCCAAAATCTATAACTGGTATTTACCTGTTTTGACGTTTACACATTTATTTACTTATTTGCATTTGATGATTACTAAGAACATATTTTATTAACATAAGAAAACACATGTGAACAAAATTAAATAGCTTAATCGAATTTTTGTGAGAACTGTATAAAAACTGTCACACATCGGGGGAGCAAAAAAGGCAGCTGGACAGACGGTTCTTAAATTCGAAAATCTACAGCTGCAACTATCGATCATATATCAGTTCTTCCTTGTTTAGAGACTTCACTAAAACTTATGGTGCTTTGTCTCACCTAAAGCGCTTATAGAAGGAAGTCAAATGAATAAATTCTCTCCTATCTCCCGCATTTGCACTAAACATTAATCGTTCTGAAACTTCTTTAAAATAGGGCTTTACGCTGTTTTTTAATCCGTCAACGCAGCGAATTAAAACTTAATGAAATTGTCATATGTATGCAGTTAACAACAGCTTTGGTGGCAGCATTTGGTCACTTTGATTTTAAAGCCGGCTCTAAGCGATAAAGTCTACTCTAACTCGACTATGATTAATATAAAGTACACTTTTAATTAGAGCTTGCTCTAACTTATGGTTAACAGATTTAACTTAAATTTGAATATACCCCTTAGTAATAACATCAATCAAAATTTCTATAACATGATAAAATTAATTAAATGTCTTCATTTAACTTAATATATCTAATATTTTCAAATTAAACACTTGCCTTGGTTAACGAACTAAAATTAGTATATTTGCTCTGCTCTGAGCAAATGGCAAATGCTCATGCAATATAAAGCAAACACGATATTTTGATATCTTTAACTTTCATATCTCAATCATTAAAAACGATTTTGTGATCTTTTCTATGTTGGTTTTATGTTGTTGCCGCGTCCACTCTGGTTTGTACAATTGGTGTCTCTACAAACTCTTTTGAAGTCAGAAAACTAGCGCATTATTGTTGTTTCTGATAGAGCGGAGTCCTTATTCAATATTCAAATAAGAAGATCAGTGTCCCACTTAACACAATCACCCACAAAATTATGAGTTGAACATAAAAATTTATAACAGCTTTCTCTTGAAAAATATTACTAACTGAAAGATGAATGTAGTAAAACTACGGGATGTACATATGTGTTAGGATCGGAAATTTTTAGACAAAACATTTTAGCTCTCGACAGAGGAAAAACATGCTCACGATATTTGATTTTATTAGGATATTGTTGATGATAATGATCTAGATGAAAGAAAAATAAATGTGCAAAGTTCGTGAAACTTTTTTATGAAATTTTAATTTTTCACATTTTTTTTGGTGTGGAAAAATTGTATAATAGCAACACCAGAATGGGCTTACATCATTACCATCAGAAGCAGTTTCAATTTTATCGCTAAAAGGCGTGAGCGTTTTTTATTTGCACATATATTCCGATATAAATTATATACATATGTGCATATATAATATAGGTTAAAAATTTACTTAAGCTCTTTGAATGATTCTTCTTTGCGACTAGCCCTCTAGTTAGTTATTTTCAAAAATAGTAACAATTTTTTTTTGTATTTCTTCAGGCAAGCAAATATAATATGAATAAAGCTATTTCCATATCTCTTTACACCGAAATCACTTCCATACTTTTCGTATTACTCATCCGCTATCAGGGAATTTGTTTTTGAATATCAAAAGTAAAGAACATTGTAAAAGTGCCACTTAAATAATATAAAATAACCAACCTACAAGGCAGAGTTTAATAACGAAACAACTGGAAATAAATCCGTAAGAAGAATGTATAAGAAAAAATGCCGATGCTAAAACTAAATACGGCATTGATTCCCACGGAATGACTATAATCAACATATGTTCAGGGTGGGTTAAACTCGCAGTTCCTCTATATTTCAAGAAAATTTAATATAAAGAGTCACGAGACATAACTTTTCTTATAAAAATGTTTTGTATCGCATGATACTGAAATTTTGGATTTCTAAGATAACAAAATATGTATGTACGTAAGTATGTATGTATAAATTGTCTGCTATAATTTCGAAAATTTTAAAAAGAATCACAAATATATGTTGCATATTTATATTTGGTTTTGACTATTATTTCATTAATTGAACTCTGCCTCTCTCCAATTTTATTAGCAGAACTAGGATACTGCAAAAAAGTTGTCATATAATGTTTTGACATATTCTAGGTATGAAATTGTAGAAAATGCAGAGTCAATTTTATAAATGGAGAGCACGTATTGCTAAAATTCGGATGCTGCGTTCGGCTTAGTAAAATTTAAAAAAAATGTTGGTGCAGTTAAAAATACTTTCTAATTTAAATTTCCTAATTACCTTTATCTTTGAGTGCAACAGCATTCTAATTTGCCACATACCTTCCAATAATTTTAAATAATAACAAGGAACTCAGTAAACTGTATACCTGCCTAATTATTCGCAATATTTTTAAATTTAGGAAGGTATTAAAATTCAACTAAACGTTAATTTTTAAATTTTTTTCATTACAGTTTATTTGAATAATACTCGAACATACACATACTTTTTAGTTTCAATAGTCCTGTTCGGTGTAACCGCCCATCGGCTCATCGAACAGAAGTAATGCCAACACAAATGAACAAAAGCAGAGTATTTATTGATTGCCTAAATAGAAACAATCGACAATTTAAATATTCCTTTGTCATAAAAATCTATTACACGCCAAAGTCGTGCATTTGCAAAAAAATAAATTGGAGCCCAGGGTATAATCCAAGCAGTGGTTGTGTTTTTAAGTATTCCCATTAAAATTGCTTATCTTACTTTATCTCAGTAAATGAAAACAATGCTGAGTTAAGGGCTAGAAACTAGCGGATTTATTGCTTCATTTATAATAACATATATATTATCTATCTGAGCATATACGAGTACAATATTTCTGCGTGCATTATGTTTACTAGCATCCCTGCTACTTGTTTTATACTCGCACTCAAAGTCATTTATCTTCTTGTTATTATCGGTATCGTTACTTGTAAGTATGTAGGATGTTAAAGCTAATTTAGCTTGCCCACTATTTTGTATGCAGCAACTGTTTTTGTGTATTACTCTGTCCACATTTTAGTTTATTTCAATGCTTAAGCTCCTGAATTTTTTGGAATCGATTTTCATCTAATTTTTAATAATTTTTTTTTCTATTAAAACAAAACACTCTCCCCTCCTACAACAAAACGTTTTCTCTGATAACTTTGATGTACATACATTACGTGTAGAAATTCATTTTCATAAATAGCTTAGTTTTTTAATTTTTGAAACTCACATGCCAAAGTCTGAAATGTGCGCTTCCATAAATTTTCCCCCAAATTTCGCACATGAAGCTCTATTATTACGTTTATGCATCATTTCTACTCTGGTTTACTCTCCTTGGGTAGATTAAACTCTCAAGCATAAACATTTTTTCACCATGAGTAGTTAAGACGTCCACTCGGGTAGATTATATACATTTTCTCTACATAGGTAGAAGCGTTAACTCGGTAGCATAAAAGCGGGTTGTGTTGATATCAGCTGATTTGCATTTAACCTGATCGATACAGAGTTTTCGTCTTGCTAACTTTTTGCCCAAAATACAGTAATTTATCTAAAATTTTACCACAATTTAGCAAAGTCGGGCTTGGCTGCCCTGATATTAACTCCATTTTAAGCTCAACTCGAGTAAAAAATTTGGCGTTTATGTTTGTAGGTATAACCCGAGTAGAATAAACCCTCGTAGAAATGAAGCATACTCGTAATATGTGTAAGCGTGTAATTTTGAGAGTAAGAAGTAATTAATATCTTGAAATTATTTTTTAAATGTATGCGTCTAAACATTTGTATACATACCAACTAAAAATTTAAGAGAAATTTGTTAAAAGTATGGCGAATTCCATATTGAATCAAATGCTTTATTAAAAATCCTCACCATAAAAAGATAAGACCTGAGAATACCTCAAGCGTAAGAAATTATGAAAAACTATGATATATTTATAAATACCATTAGAGGAGTATGAGGACAAATTTTATATGTATATATTTAGGAATCGAATTCCAGGAAAGACAACATTATGTTAATATTTTATTAACAATCAATAATGAAATATTTGTACATTCATTTTCGAAAAAATATTTAAAACTATACAATATACTTCTAAATTTAAGTATAATGTAAAAAACAGTGTGATTATCAATAATATATAAATACATACATATGTATGCATGTATGCACTCGTCTATACATGTTCGTATGTCCAAAACTGTAACTAAACATAATAAAATACCATGCATATAAATATATTATAAATATTTTTATATCTCAAAGTTAATAAAACAAAATTCTCAAAAACTCATTGTTAAATTTTATTAAGACAGGTAAGTTTTGTTAGAGATTTATTTATTTCTAATGATTTCACGAAAAAATCACCGCAGCTCTTAAGGCTAACGATCTGAAAATATTCTAATGAATTTCAAAAAAAAAACTTAAATTAATATTAATCAGTTTATTATGGTATAGAAAGTCAAAAATCTGGCTAAGTTTTGCAATTTAAATCTTTGAATATTTATCGAGGATTGGATTGTGGACAATCGTTTGTAGGAGAATAGGCAACTGATAATGTGTTCTTGAGTAATCTTCTTTTGACTTGGTGGAAGACTCGTAAAAATTAGCTAGAGCTATTGCCCTCTTAAAAAACAACAGAGAAGCTTGAGTCGATAACCTATCGGCAGAGTTATTCAAAGATGGCCGCGAAGAATTGACAATGTCCGCGCATGAACTTCAGAATATAATTCGACAAAATCAAGCCCGACTGAGTGTGATCTATTTAATCCGTAGAACCAGACTTCAAAGCATCGTATGCAAGGTCTTAGACCTTGTATCTCCTGGTAACCAATAAACAACCGTTTGGAGGTGAGGTAAAGTGAGGACGCGAATCCCATGGGTTTGTGCGTAAGGTTTGGGACCATTCACATGAAAAAAAAGATTAATGAAAAATTTTATTCAGCCTCGGATGAGAGACCCCCTTTTGATGACGACTCCGCAAATATTTTATAAATACAATTAAAGGCATGCACCTGGAATGTCCGGCCCCTAAATTTGGAAACTTATGAGCGCTGTCCCCACCGCGACGTCAAAATTGTGATTGGCGACTCCAACGCTAGGATGAGCAAGGAAGGTGTTTTTGGGACAACAGTCTCCCCGAATGGGCTGAGGCAGTTTGACTTCGCTGGGACCCGAAATATGGTTGTCTGTGGCACTAGATTCCAGCACCATAAAATTCACCAAGCTACTTGGCTGTCTCCAGATCGAAAAACATTCAACCAGATCGATCCTGTTGTGGTAGACGGAAGACTTGTAGATGTGCGTACGTTCCGAAATCCAAACATTGACTCGGATCACTATCAGCGAAGATACGCACGAGCCTCTGTATCGAAGAACGTCCGTCAACAAATACACGGAAAGTATGACGTCGAATAGCTTCAATCACGACAGACTGCCCAGCGGTTTTATACTCGACTTACAAACCTGCTCTCTGAGAGCACTCATCAGAAACTCGGCACAAGGGAACTGTGGGACGGCATTGCAAACTCCCTACGTACAACTGCAAACGAAACTGTTGATTTTCGGAAAGGTCGCAAAAACAACTGGTATGTGGATGACTGCCTTGTCGGAGTGTAGAGAAAACAGAACGGCTACCCCGCAACGTTACGCTCGACCACAACACGTGCGGGATGGGATAGATAACAAGAGCTGAAGAAGGAAGCAAGACGCATTGGTAGAGAAAAAAGAAAGAGGCCGAAATGCGTGCTGACTAGGAACTTGAGAAGATGGCCGACACGGGTAATGATCGAAAATTCTACGAAAATGTAGTTCTACTTATGGAAGGTTTCAATACCGGAGCAAACCATTGTAAGATCCAGAGGGGTGAGCTAATGACGGATGCCCAGAGTATACTGAATCTATGAGGGAAAACTTCTCCATCCTGTTGAATGGTAGTGAAGATGATACGATACACCCGGAGAAGGTGGACCCGTAACTCCAATTAATGACGATGAAAAAATTCTAAAATTACTCGACGCGCAATCACCCGCTAAAAAAACAACAAAGCGGCGGAGACCACATACGAAATGAAGGATTAATCAGGCGCATGTATCAGTTTCTTTGCAAAATATGATTGGATGAAAGCATGCCCGACGACAACAAGAGGGCCATCCCACAGTATGCGCCGGGCGACAACGGTGGCATAAGCCTTCTTAACATCGCATATAAGGTCCTATAAAGCGTATAGTGTGAAAGACTAAAGCCCATCGTCAACAAACTAATCGGACCTTATCAGTGTGGCTTTGATATTCACCATGCGCCAAATCTTGGAGTAGACCCCTGAAAAAAGGATCGCCTCACATCACCTTTTCGTCGATTTTAAAGCAGCCTTCAACAGCAGGAAGGTTACTATTATTTTTTTCAGCAACAAATTAAAAAAGTTACACGATAGACAGATCCTTCCCAATTCTTACGGCGCTTTTGGTGTTGCTTAGCGTCAGTTTACACAGCCATCGAAGGCTGCTTTAAAATCGATGAAGAGGTTGTCTCTCGTTCCTCTTTTCAGGGATCTTTTCCAAGATTGTAGGCCAGCTTCTCAAGCTGTTCATACTCATGTATCTCTGGATCTTTCTTTTTCCTTTGCACTTTCGTCTTCCCTTTTCAATGGTCGGTTTCTATCCCATCACGCAAGAGTAATGGCCGATCGCAAGGATCAGCCTGCTTTTTCACCACAGCTCCGCCGCAGTGCTTGTTTTCCAGCTGTTTTTGCGACCTACTCGAAATCCAATATTTTAGTTTGTGGCTGTACGTAAGGAGCTTGAAACTGCGTCCCACAGTTCCCTTATACCACGTTGTTGATCAGTGCTGATCTCAGAGAGTAGGGGCGCAGGTCGACTAGAAAATCGTTCGTCAGTATGTTGTGGTTCTCTGATACACAGGAGTGCATGCGTGTCTCCACTACAACAAGATAGTGATCCGAGTCGATGTTGGGTCCTCGGAGTCTATCTCAACATGATCGATCTAGTATAAGTTTTCCTGTCATGGAAACTAGTTCTGCAGGCAGCCATCTTTCGGGTCCCGGTGAAGTCGATCAGACTTAAACTATTTCGGGATAGATGCTGATTTTTTCAACAGTTGTGCCAAAGATGCCCTCTTTGTCTGCCTACCCTTTTCACATCGGCGCAAGAGCAACACTCATTAATACGCTCCAGGCTTTCATAAAAGGCATCCTTGGGCACATCTTTTCCCGTCTTTACACGCGCTCTACTCGTAATCCTTAAAACATTTTCAGGGGTTGTCACTAAGAGGGTTGTATCTTATCCGAGACGTTTTCAACTTTCTTATTAAAGTAGATTTCTAACTAATGGACTCCAAGCCCAGCGGACAACCTCGCTAGGCGAGTAGGTTCAAGTTTTTTAAAACGCATGCTTCTCCTCTGTTGTTAGACGCTACATTTAGAGTTCAGGGAACATTTAAGCCCAATAATTTGGAGTGGCTCCACTGAAGCTTCCTATATTTTATTCGTGACCCAAAACTCCAGCCGGGTTAGTTACCGCATCTTGCACAACAAACGACGTGGACCAGAGATCAGGAAATGAGTATAGTCTGCATACTCAGAAGCTTGACTATTCCCCATTACTTTGTTATATATTGTTGGCGCTTTGTAACCGCTTTTATTATTTTTTTTATTTTTATTTAAATTAATTTTCTACAACTTTTGGATGTTGGTCGTTGGTCCAGGATTTGAACCCGAGCATTCCAAACGATAGTACGCAATGCCTAACTCTCAAGACAGCCGGTTCTACGCCCCGGAGTTGACCCGGATTTTATTCGGCCAAGGGCTGTCACTCTTCCGGCGACCTAACCCCGTTTAGGTCTACAGGTAACTTTAGTCTAAGTTCGCCAATGGAGCAACACCTCGCAGCTGGGCTGCTCCAAATCCTTCTGATCAGGGCGGATGTAGAAACCAACCCTGCACCGACGGATTACTTCTGCTGCGTGTGTCATAGAAGACTCCACCATTCATCCACCTCGGTTAGATGCACCCAGTGCAGTGGTTGGAGTCATCTTAAGACCTGCTCAGACCCACAAGGAATGGACCACGAGTTATGTGGCCCCATGCTG